TCTGTCTGTCTGTCTGTCTGTCTGTCTGTCTGTCTGTCTGTCTGTCTATCTGTCTGTCTGTCTGTCTGTCTGTCTGTCTGTCTGTCTGTCTATCTCTACATACAGTATATATATATATAATCTGTGGACAAGAGTACCAAAATATGTATACCGTTGTTTGATATGCAACATTATCATGCCTCATTTAATCTCTAATAAATGATTCTGAATAGAATCTGATAATCAGATATGAACATAAAATTACAAAAAAAAAAAAAAATCTAATTGTTATACAAACAATTATTCTTTGCCAACTACTATACAGTATTGCTATTGTATGGAGATTATATTACAAATTGTCTTTTTCATGGTTTATCAAACACATGCTGAATTGATTGCTTATAATTGTATTTGTTTTACTTTGGAATTTGTGGGATGAAACAATTTTGTGAAATTATTTAACTTAATTGTAAGACTTGTAATCATGGTAATTTATGATTATTAGCAGTTTATGACCCATTTAAAGTATCCAGACACACAATATAAGCTGGAATTTTTTTGGGGTCCCAGAACTATTTCTCGGCTGCCACCTTGATTTAAAAATAAATATTAATAAAAGAAAACTGTTTTGTTTGTGTTTGTTTATTGTTTTTGCACTCAGTGAAGTAGTAGACATGTGGGGTGAGCTGCAACAAATACATAATAAAAGCATAAATAAATTAAACTGTATGATACATCAGTTACAACAGCTTAGGTAGGTTTGAGTTTTGAAGAAATCCCCATCCCCACCTACACGCTTCTGATTATATAAAATGCATGAACCTGTGTGGGTTTGCAGCTTTGTACAGTTTAAACTGTTTTAAGTGAATATTTATGTGTGCGCGCGTGTCTCCTGCTTGCACGTGTCAATCACTGCATCATAGCTGGGGTTTCCCCATCGCTCCATCACAGCGCCTGTCTTTGAGTGCGGCGGCACTATTTAGCAGAAGATCCTTTGATTCCGCCCGCGCGGAGTGATCCACGATGTGTGAGAAGGCTCCGCTTGTCAGTCAGACTTTGAACTGTGCACTGGCGCTCAGCATCATCATCATCATCATCATCCTGTCTGTGACCGCTGCTCGTCATCTAAGACCCTGCCACTGACTGACACTCTGAAGCCGTCGAGCTCACACATTAAAGATTAGGATGAACAGTTGTTAAAAGCGGAGGAAAAGCCGAGGAGCAGCTGTTACAGTTAGCGGGGGGGACAGGAGCGGAGATTTAAACGTTAGCTAACGCCGTCCAACGGTCACGCTACTCGGGAGTTAAAGATGGTCCAGTCCGGGGATGTTTTTCTAGCTTTGCTACTTGTGGGCTGTACAGGTAAGATTCTTTTTTAAGCTCTGAGTTTATAAAAATGGATGTTGTTTTGTGTGTGTGTGCGACTATCCCATATTTCGTGGCTTTAAATTGTAGTCAGGACCGCAGGCAGTCTCTCGCCTCCTCCGCCCGCAGGCACTCTTTTTTTCTATTTAGCAGGTGCGATGCTGACAATCCTTAATTAGCTTATAGGCGAGCTGTTCGTCCGGTAAAGACAGCTCGTGCCTAATATGTCATGGGTGCTGTTTATCTTGGCACACACTCACAGCTGGCTTTGTTTGTTTGTTTGTTTGTTTTGCTTGACCACACACCGCGCTGACTTGGCATTATTGCACATTAAATAAAAGATGGTGCAGAGAGAGTGGCTCTGAAATAGTAGGATGTGCGTGGAGAAAGCGGGGTGCTGCTGTGTTCTTGGTCACGTGGGCCGTTCTCCTGTCTCTGCTCGGGTGGGACGTGTTTGTTGGTGTGGGGTAGTGACGCTGGGCTCCCTGCGTTTGTCTCCTGGGTCAAAACAGAAAGACAAGGAAGGATAGGAGCAGCCAAATAATACATCGGGCATTTGACTCCTGCACCTGCACCAGCGGAGGAGGTGCACAACACGTTTGGACAAAATCAAGAGTTGACCAGGGACACTCGTGGGCTTATATGTGGTCTCTCACTCGTGCACAGCTAAGCACAACTTCTACTCTGAATCATCTGTTATGTAATCCGATGCCACAACACGGGCTTTGAAATTAGATCCTCCAAGTTGTTAAATGTGCCATTACGTAAATCGAAGGGGAGTTTGGCTGAAATTACACTTTGATGACATTTGCACGCACCCTTTCTGATGAGCAATGTTTTATTTTATGTGAAAAGTGCTCGTGTTGGAAGTGGTGCTCGTGGCTCCAACCAGGCTCAGGATTTTCCGTGGGTTAGCCTTTTAATCCCTCATGTACAATCCGATGTGAAGGGGTGTTCCTCAGGCGAGAGAGGAAAACGCAGTGGGAGTGGAGCCCTCACTGCATTGTGATGGTAATACATGCCTCCCCTGCATGTTTATCTCCCAATATTAAGACAAAATGGAATATTACAAGGCGTCTTGTGGGATAATTCATTGCCCTTTTATATCTGTTTCTTGTAGTGCTTATTTTGAAACGCGACTGGCTCCAGTGACACCCAAACAGACCCTGGTAATTCAGTGGCTTCTTGTGTGACATTTCAAATAAATTGCTAAGCTTTAACTTCTACAAAGAAAATCAATATTATGTTTAGGCTGAGATGGGAGTTTTGTGATTTAAAATACACCTTAGTATAAGAACTGTTGCTAAACTTATAGACATTTATCTAATATCTGTTTTGTTCATATTTTATATCCATCCATCCATCCATCCATCCATCCATCCATCCATCAAACCATCCATCCATCAAATGAGACAAACAACCATTCACTCTCTCGCTCACACCTAGGAGCAATTTAGAGTTACCAGTCAGCCTAACATGCATGTACTTTGATCTGTGAGTATCTTATATCTAGAAATGATAACAAATGGTGAAGTTATGTGTGGTTAGAAATTTTGATTTGTAATATTTGGGCACATTGTGGCAACAGTAGCTCAGTTTGCTAACATTTCTGTACTGCAGGTTGATCTAGACTTGACTTGGCTTCCTGCCATCTTGTGATCTCAGCTCTTTTTTTTTTTTTTTAGACAATATAACTGCAGGTGCATCTCAAAAACTTATAATAGTGTGGAAAAAGCCCAATATTTTTTATCAGCTTCAGAAAGTGAGACTTGTATGGATTTGTTACACAGAGTGAACAATTTCAAACCGTTATTTCTTGTAATTTAAATGATTATGGCTTGCATAAAGCTCGTCAGCAGAAGGAAGCATGAAGTGCTGTAAAATGTCCTGGTAGATGCTGCATTGACTGTGGACTTCAGAAAACACAGTGGACCAACACCAGCAGATGACATGATCCCAAACCATCACTGACTGTGGAAACGTCACTCTGGACTTCAAGCATTGTGGGTTCTGGACCTCTCCACTCTTCCTCCAGACTCTGGGACCCTGATTTCTAAATGACATGAAGAATTCACTTTCATCTGAAAGGAGGACATTGGACCACTGAGCCACAGTCCAGTTCTGTTTCTCCTCAGCCCATGTTCTGATGGTGTCTCTGGTTCAGGAGTGACTTGACATGAGGAATGGGACGTTTGTAGCTCATGTCTAAGAGTTACTCATGTGATTAAGGTGTGACACCATGAGTTTCTAATATGGAACTTTATCACAATATTCAAAATTTCTGAGTCATTGAATTTTGATGTTTCATTATTTGTAAGCCATAATCGCCAACATTACAATAAATAAAGGCTTGAAATATTTCATTCAGTGTAAAGAGTCACACTTTCTGAAGTGATTGACAAAAAAAATCTGAACTTTTTCCACATCATTCTTATTTTTTTAGATGCATCCTTATGTTCAAAAGGACATTTAGTTCAGTTTGGTTTTTTTAAACACAGCTTTACTTTAAATGTAAATTTATGGCAATGGTTGACAATGTAGAGTTAAAACAATTCTGTTATATGTATATCCAACAAAGACAAAGACTGACAGCTGTTATCACTGAACTATACATTTTCTTTAAGTTTATGTTCTGACATAAATTTTAACTAGACACAGGACAGGAAGTTGAAGCCACAAAGGACCCGTGTCCCCTACTAGGCTGCTCCAAGGTTATTGAACAATCTCCCACAAGTCCCTTCACTGTCCACTTTTAAACACTTCTTAATATCCATTTTTATTCCTTGGTTTTGGGCACAGCCTAAGACTTGCTCTGGTTTGTTTTACTGCTGTTTTATTGTTTTAACTATTTTCACTGTTTTATGTTTTAAATGTTCATTGAATTTATATGTACTGCATTTTTTTGCAGCTGTGGTTGTTTATAAAGTGCTTTATACAGGCAATAATCAGAATCAGAATCAGAATGCTTTTACTATGCTTGCACAGTGCAACGAAATTACTTTCCATACAGACGTCCTACAGACGGACAGAAGTGTACAGTGGGCTGCAGCTTCAAAGATATGCTACCCCTGTTGCTTAGATAAGAAAAAGGGAAGAAACATGAGGAGAGTGGTATAAAAAAGGATCTCTCACACCGTGTCCTAGACAAGGCACGGTTTGAAGTAGCAAAAAAATTTACCACAGCAAAGCAACATAAATAGTTAAATACTTAATACTAGACTATACATACTATAATACTAATACTAGACTAAAAAATAATACATAATACTAGACTATAAAGTAGTAGTAGTAGTAGTAGTAGTAGGCAGTACAATTTTTAAGCCCCACCTCTCAAGTGTAAAAAAAAGAAACATTTTCATGACTTAAACAATACACTTACACGTTGTTGATTTTTTTTAATTCACAGTACCTTGCTCCATTTAAAAAATAAGAGTTTAAAAAGTGTCATGTTACAATGTGACTGACAATGTGACACTCTGTTAACAAGTTGGGAGGACTTTTGTATTGCTGGTATAGCCCCACATCCTTCCCGCACAGACTCTAGCATCAAAAAGACAACATGGAGACGCCCACAAAACAAGTTTTGATTTTGTTTCAGACAGTGGAAGTTCATAGAGTTGTTGCATCTATTTTTATTTGCGTTGATGGTTAATATTCAATGTATTTGTGTTCTTTGCTGTAATTTCGGAATAATACATGAACCACTGAATTCTCAAAAGGATTAGTTTTTCTGGTAAATGTGTTTGCGATTATCATCTGCACTGAATAGTTGAAGGTATAAGGATATCACTTACTGTATGTGCTTTTGTACAAGCTAAAATTTTATCTAAATAAATGTAGCAGTATTTGCAATATAGTAAATAAATGTCAGAAATAGTAAATTATGAAAGCACATTTGAAGCTTTAGTAAGTGAAAAGGAATGAAATTAAATTCTAATCTTCATATTGAAGATTGCAATACTGCAGTTACAGTGTGGACAGCATTTGGTGGTAGCGATAAAACCTCTTTCTGTGTCTTGTCTTGTAATTGATCCTCTTGACTGAAGAGATCCGTCTGTGGAACTCGCCATATGGTCCTATTGAACAGGAAGACACAGCTTTGTGCTTTACAGTAGGGTTGGTTTACATAGTCTGTCTTACATCATCAGTCATGTGGAAATTATGATGTAGCTGCTCAGTTTACAAAGCAAGATGGAAGCATGGCTGACTGCAGTCTGTCTTACAAGACCTCCAGCCTTCCTTACGACTGATTTAGCCTTGTGTGGATGGAAATCAGTGCAACCAAAAAATGATGGCTGCAAATCCAGCAAATCTGACATGACAAACCTACTATATCACTCATTTGCTTTCCTATCTCTTGCAAATGATGTTGATAAAATGAAATAAAATAAAATCATAAAATCTAAGGTTTTCATGCAGAAGGATGAGCGAGGGCTGAGGATTCATTCCAGCCAGGACTTGACTCTTTGTTGATGAGTAGTAGAACAGACAGATCCAGGTCTGAGAGAGTTCAGAGGAGATTCACTGCCTAAGGATGCTAAATAGATGACATTACATGTGCACGTGACCCTGCGTGGCACTGCAGGAGGAAGATAAACATCCTTTCCTCAGGGTTTGCTGACATAAGAGACGCTGGCTGTGGGATTTGTGGTTGTTTTTAAGAGGTTAGTTTTTATGGTGATGGGATCCGTATGCCACACCTTTGAGGCTTGACTTAGCATGTTATGGATTATTATAAATGAGGGTTAATTTAAAAGTATGAAATTGATTAAACACAGACTCGGTAGGTGATGAGGTTTGGCTATATGACTAATAACCTGCTTTAGACGTCATTTTGAGCTGAATATTGCAGTCCTACTTTCCAATCCCACCCGCTTGTTTCATTTTTGAAAACATTTAAATATATTTTTACTGTTAGGTAACAAGATCTGCGTGTTCTCGTCAATCATAAGAAAAAAAAAACCAAATAGCAGAACACTGTGAAAACAAGAACCTTC